CTCTAATCAAGGTTGATTCAATAAACAACATTATCTGTATTAATCAAGAGTGAGCAAATAGGCTTAAAAACTAGACTGGCAACACTATGCCCCATAGAAAATACATTATAGCAATGCCCGCCAATGCACCATTATGCCCGCCTTGCCCATCGTTGGTATTAATGATAAAGGGTTTTATTAATAATTTCGAAATTAAATGAAAAATAAAATATGAGGCACAATAATCACTGTTTTAGGGAATGGTATGGATAACTTGCATGTTTTTATAAAATTATCTTGCATAAATTTGATCTATTCTAAATTCCAATCTAAAATTATAAGTATAGATATAATTATAATATATAAATATAATTATAAACAATATCATTATTGGGTTAGGCTTTATAAGTAATTTCTAAATAATCATTTTTATGCTTCTTTAATGAAAGTTTTTATTAATAGTTTTGAAATTAAATGAGAAATAAAATAGGCGGCGCAAAAATCACTGCTACAGCAAATGGTATGGATAACCTAAATGTTTTAATAAAATTATCTTGCACAAATGTTATCTATTGTAAAATTTTTGGCAAACTTTTGCAATTTTAAAGTTCGCATAGAATTCTATTGTAATTTCATAGCATATTACTTATTCTTACATGTTTGTAAATTATAAGTATAGATATATTAAATATTAATAATTACAATATATAAATATAATTATGACCAATATCATTATTGTGTTATGCTTTATAAATCATTTCTAAATACTCATTTTTATGATTATCTGTCGGATTAATGGTTTCGTATTGAGCAGACTGTTGATGATTTATATACTCGTAATGGTTATGCATATCGGGATCATAAGGCAAACTGTCATCATATAAACTGTGCATCGATTTAATCGCATTTATTCTTTTCTGCGCTCTCCTCTTGTGGTAAAACTTTATCGCGATTACAATGAATGCAATGATTATTATTAAACAAAGTAATAGTATTGCAGACAATGTATAGATGAGTGTCGTTGAGATGGACATTACTGGTGACTGAGTAGTGGTGCTATTGTCCAACGTATTGGTGGCCAACACACAAACATTGCTAGTGTTGTCACCAGCGCTCAGTCCCTCCCACTGTCCATTATTACATTATATTACCCTCGGTTTATTCAGTACATATACCCTTTTACTATTAACATTGATTTCATTGGAGTTAACATCATCATGATGGTTATAATGATCACAGGACAGGTTAGCGTACAGGCCATTTGGTACGTACATTATTTCCCGATTACCATCATTAACCGTAATATTCTCGTTATAAATAATATCTATACCAGTATTGGTTGGTATATCAATATCGGATGATTTACAGTAAGTTTTAGGTATACATCTGGGAAATGGGTTCAGCCACTGGCCATTTGGACCGCATTCAACAGTCGGGACTCCGTATAGCGTATATTTATCACTATTACATTTGTATTTATTACGGCTCCCATTCATCACTACATCCATAACCAGCGGTTCATCCGGTTTACCACAATCCTGGCTAAAGTGATACAGCTTTAGGTCACATGTCATGAGCTTTGAGACATCGGTCTTATCGGGAAATTTGTGGTAAATATCTTGAAAACCAGTCCCGGAATCGGCGCTAAAGTGAATCTGTGTGCTTAGAGTATCGACGCTATGATTGCACTCAAAATCAATCGTCAAATAGCCATCACTACTGGCCTCAGAGGCGGCACTTAATGCGCGGCCCGTATCGGACGGACGACATGTTTCGAGACCATAGTATGTTACCAGAGACGCGGCTAATGTTAGTTGCGATTCAAGTATTTTTAACGAGTTTGTATATACTTTTAGCCGTATGTAATTAATTCGGACTGGGTGCAATAGTTTTGCGGTGAAACCCGTTTTTTGCCAGGGTAAACATCCAAATCCCAATTGTTTCCGGTCGGTCCCAATATTATCAGTATTTTTAGTTACACTTGTTATGTTTGTGGCGTAACCAATAGCTATAGATATTGATTAATATTAGTTAATAATATTTTTATTATAAGGAATGAAAAGAGGTATAACTGACCACATTGGGGGACAGCACCGGTCCAGTGGCCATAACGACAATGCCGTACATTATTGCCCACTAATAACGCATTTTTATCCCTACAAACGTAATTCACTTTAACATTGTTTTCAATATTACTTTTGTTGGCAAAGAGTATCTGATTGTTGTCGACAGTGGAATAAATGTCTGCACCGGGAGGTGTGGCCACTGGACCACAATAACACTGATTGTCATTCAAATCGTAACAATTTTGCGATAAACAGATGGTTACAAACGTGGTTAAAATACCAGCTAATAATTTTATTGTATTCATTATATTTAACATAAAATTTAAAATATTTGTTAAAGTTTTTTAATTATACATTAATAATGTTAATTCATTAAAGAAGTGGTTATTGCATTTATGTGAATTATAAATGTAACTGTAAAGTAAACAGCTCTCTCTCTCTCTCTCTCTCTCTCTCTCTCTCTCTAAAAAGAGTTTTAAAACATGTTTTACGTATACATCCATATATTTCTTGTTTTAACGCAATTACATATCCGGGTAAAATATTTTTAAAAAGGAAATGAAAAATTTATTTAAATTAATTTTATACTATTAAATATTGTTATAAAATCTCATTTATGGGATTTAGAAAGATCTTTAGATAAAGATAAATTTTACTATAATAACATTAAATATTGAATTGTCTAAATACGTAATCAAACTATTATATGTCAGACCATAGGAAGTTTTATATACATTTATCTGATAAACAATAAATTTATATAACATTTAAATTTAAAGGTTTAGTGTTCAAAGTGAGAAAATTAATCAGTGTTTAAGAGTCAACGGCGCGAATACACCGCCGATTACGGGGCGATTCACAAAACCGGATGAATAGCCGGTAATAGTGTTTGCGTAGTCAGAAAAGGGCACTCGAGTCGGCGTTTCGCGCAACCATTTGGCCGTCCGATCGAACAATAATTGCCGCAGTTTTGTATCGCCAGACGCGGCGGCCGTAAACATAATCCAATCAAACTTTGTGTCCTGTTTTTCACAGCCTAACGACAAGCCGTAGACATTCATCACCTGTTGGTACCACTCGTCCTGTTGTTCGTAGATCTAAAGGCATGGGTTAGGTTGTTAATCAAATAACTTGAACAAGGCTAAAATTTGACATAACAAACCGATTCGGGTACTAATTTGGTGTCCAACAGGAGATCGGCGTATAGGTTATAGATCATAAACCACTTGTCGGGTGTATTATAACTCATTTTCAAGTATTTATGGGACGGATCTTCACTCAGACAAATCCATTTAGTGATATACTTCTCTGCGATAGTTCTGTACCGATGTCTGTCCGCCTCATTACCGGTCACTTCAGCCAACTGTGCCATCGCTCCGATGCCTACAATGGCTTTGACCGAAAGGTTTGTAGAATTTGTAATTCGGCCCAAATAGACGTCAGTTGTCAAAACGTCACCTAAATTTACCGTTGTAATTTTAAATTAATATTTAATTTACTATATTTAACAATTAAAATATACCTGTGATCAACCCGTGATCGACCAAATACTGTGTCCATTGTTTGGCAATTTTGTAGTGCTTTTTGGCAAACTGTATGTCATTAGTGGCCCTGACATAGGCTGACATCATGATCAACATATTAGCGCTCTCCTCGACCTCCATGTCCAAATCATGTCCCACCTGTCCATTGCATTTGGGATAATCAGATCCCAAATCATGTAAACAATACTTTTTTGAGAATAAACCCCTCTCTTGATAGTCGAGCAGTGGTTCCAAAAGGTATTTCAAAAGCGTTGGATTGAGATATAGCTGAACCGGAAAGTGGGGGTAAATCGCGTCCACTGTTTGACACTTACGACTCGATGAGATCTCCTTCAACATCATCCACGGCCTGCAAACTGTGCCAACCATTTCCACACCTCCATAAGCCTAAGAGATAATTTGTGTATAAATGTTAAACATTTATAAAATATTTTTGAAATTATGATTAATTTTTTATCTGATTTTTTATTCATATGTTTTACCAATAATACAATAAATCTTTGCAGTTTTTTACTGCACACATACCTGTCTGAGCGCTGCGGACACAACCTTAACATAACTCTCGCCGCCGACCGCCTGAGCGTCGGTCACAATACGGGTGTCTAGAGCTGTGGCTCTTCTAATGGCGTCCTCTCTGTCTTCATAGAAGAAGTCAATCATCTGTTTGTCGTCTCCATTGAAATAACTTTCCCATAATTGGTTCAGATTTGAGTCCGTGTACTCAATGGCCGGTCGTCTGACGTGAGCGACGCCGTAATACACAGTGTTTGCCGCCGTATGAGTGGTGCCGGCAATCAGTGTCCGCGCGAACCCAATGCCCGGCCAATTGTCCGACACTTTGCGGAAATTGTTGCAAACAGTATTGTCAAGTTTACCAGTTTTGATAAACTTTGGGCGCATTACTGTATCACAACTATTAGCCTAAAAAAGACAAATAAAAACAATTTAATATAAATTAAACTAATTTAGGTAATTTTATTATTTATATTATATAATAATAAATGAATTGATTTATAATAAAAGCTACTATCACTATTATCATTGATCGCGATAATGAAAAATTATTATTCTAATTTAATATTTTTTAACATAATAAATTGATTTAATTATGGAAGAGATTAATAGCACCTTTATCATTAATAAATTCAAATATTGTGTAATTTGTTTAAATACCTCATAAGTGGCGGTCGAGTCGGTGAAGAACTTAATGGTTCCCCATTGGGCTAAATCTGATGCATAATAATTATGAGCAATAAATGAATAAACAAATTTTGATTAATTAATTGTTAGTAAATCACAGTTTAATAATTTAGTACCTTGATATTCTTGAAACTGTTTTTGCTCTTTAAGTCTAAAGTTACCGTTAATTAGATTTGATTTGCCCTTCACTTCGCTTACATCCCATTCAACAACTTGGTTGAGATCACTGGTAACCCATTCACCAGTCATATCCAGATATACCTGGACTTCATGTGTTTTGTGATCCATAGATCGGGCGCTCATTGATATATAAGAGGCCGGAAGTGACAGACGCTTGAGATCTGTCGGATCGATAGGAGTGAAGAAGTTTACGACCAGTTCTATGGGTCCGGCGGTGAATGTGAACACCGATTGGGTTGGAGTCACTCGAAGACCCGACTGTACGGCTCGAATGCCTTCGAGACCACCCATAAACACAAAGGTCTGTCCGTCGACCCGAACCATACCGGCCATAGCCCTGATGTCTTTATTCCAGGATCGCGTCCAATCGTCTCCCAATTGTCGGCCAGTCATCCAAGTGGACAGGTATGGACTCTTCACCACCAGTGGTACGGCTGGCAATACATCTGTAAAAATATTTTTGTTATTCAAAAATTTATATTGTTTTAAATTATGTTTAATTAAACAATATTCACCATTTGTTATTTTAAGCTCTGTCGATTCTCTCTTGGTATTATATGCATCTAATTTACAGTTTCCTAATTCAATTTGTGTATGAGTAAGGTCGTTTTTTAGCACGTCACGCACGTATTCAGTGGCATTAAGTTTGTACCGCAAAGTATCTAGCTCTTCGCTAAGCTGATTGCAACTTTTCTCATCCCGATAGTCGACCCAACCGTCGTCACACGCCCGGAGTGTTACTATTAATATTTACGTAAAATTATCATGGTGAATTGTTGAATATTATGATTACACAATAAATTTATATAATATATTATCTTGGTTTAATTTTGTTATATTAATTTTACCTGGATAATAGTGGAATGATTGGATAAGCGTAACAATAATTAAAATATTTTTTAGTACCATAGTGAATCTAATTGATTGAGAAACTTTTGTATCACTTAACGTACACCACAATTACATTAATAATTACTGTATATAAATCGTGGTCCTCTTATCTAACGAGGTAAACGTATAATTTTCAAGTAAATTATATTTTAAAATATTCAAAAATAATTAATATAATTTTATTAAAATGTGAATTACACCAAGTTGATTATATACTAAATGGTGTGTACTTGATAAATTACTTTTATTGACATATCTGTTATTGCAGATGTGTTAAAGGATACACGCGCTCGTACTCTTATCATGTACTGTATGACATAACCCATTAATTAGCCTATGTTTGCATAAACTGTACAAAGCAAAGCATTGTTACATGCATTGAAAAACATGTTTAAAAAAACTTAACTATTAACATAGCAGTTAACATGTAAATGTTGTCATTATTAATGACTCATTAACTGTCAAACAGTAGTACCGCGAATATCCGTAAACTTCACCCAATAGCAGATCTGGTAATGTCAATAAAAGTAATTTATCAAAACACATATCAGTTCTTAAATAATCAACTTGGTGTGATTTACATTCTAAGAAAATTCTATTTACTATTTTTAAATATTTTAATTTATAATTTATTTGTTCACCATCATCATCTCGTTATATTTATATATAATTATGGCATTTAGTAAAATATCCATAATCAAGACTGACTCAATAGACATGTTTTGTATTAATTATTAAGGTCATTATGGATATTAATAATTTTAAAATTTTGTAAACATGTAAATTTGGTAACATTTTATAAATAATGTATTTCGGCCTACTGTAATTTACTATATTTTTCAAATAAACGTCTTATCATAATCAAACGTAGTGTTATTATTAATTGATAAAATATTTCTTGTAATTATTATGTTTCTATGAAATTTTCATTTTATAAACTAAAAAGTTATTAGTAATAACACGTCTCTCTCTCTCTCTCTCTCTCTCTCTCTCTCTCT